TTTTCATCAATTTTTTGGCGTTTTATAGTCTGTCTTTTAGAAATCTCAGCTCTAATTTCAGTATGTTGTAGTCGAGTTTTTATTCGTTTTTTACGTGCTGCCTGAATAGACCACTGAACTACAATTTTTCTAGAAAAGTCATCAAGATTATCCAGATAATCCATTGTCCCATTCTTTTTGGTTCGTAATTTGCAAGATATATAATCAATAGATGCATTAGGAGATCTTCCTTTTGCAGCACTGAACATTCCCATTAACTCTTCACTATCTATGTTATGAAGCCTTGCACTAGCTGTTTCTTTTTCAAGTGCTTCTGTAATGGTAATGGAAAAATAGCGCTTATACTGTCGATTTAAAACCACTTCTATTGCATTGAGGCAAGCCAAGATCATGGCAATGAGCTCGTCATCAATTCTACATATTTTTGTTAATGGTTCTAACACATTTGCTTTGAGAGCATTTCCAAAAAAATCTGTTGTTCTGCAAAATATTGCAGCTGGATCGCATTTGCAGTCTTTAATTGTTTGCACAACATTTTTAACAATCTGGATACCACCAACATGATCAAAATATGCTTTCTCAGATGACACATAAAACATTGTCATCCACGGCCCTGTAAGAAGTTTTCCAAATAAAGCAAGTAGACACATTTGCTTTATAGCAGTTGTATTACAAAATGCTACTCGCAGAACCCTTTGTAAAGTTTTTATTTTTACTGTTCCTATAGTTAAAAAATGTAAAAATTTGTTATAATGTTTTATAAAAATAAAACAAGTGTGGAACAGAATGTGAAGGCGATTTCCACGATACCTTGGAATGATACCTCGTGGTAGTTTATTATTGTCTAAAAAATTAACAAATCCCTTTGGGTCACCTTTACCATCTTTGAACCTCATCTTATTCATAGCCAAAACAATTTTTGCAGCTATACAATCATTTCCATATAATTCGCAGCTATCAAGCTCTAGAGACTTTAATGCTGAACGACACGATGTGGCAATTGTGTCAAGAGGGTGCAAATGACAGTTTAATTCATTGAGACTTTTACCCCAAGTTTCACCAATTTTTCTTATTGTAAGATGGTTAACAGATACTCTGTCCGACATTGTGTTTGAAATATTTGATATGACCATACGACGACATTCTTCAAAGGGTTTCAAGTGAAAGTTTGAATATACTAAAGCTGTATGATCCACTTCGTTACATATATGGTTCGCATAATCCACAGCTGTCCCACCTGGTAATTGATCAACAGCAATTACCTGGCATTTATCAATTGAAGTTAAGTGAATACTGTTGATATGAACACCTTCTTGTGTAGTTGCGTCAAACCCAAGAGTAAGATGAGTATTACTAATGATCCATTCAGCTGCCTGCAGATCAGCAATACTGCCAAGCTCACGAGCCATTTGCTCAATAGTGCTACGACAAGGAATGTGAGAAAAAATAACACTGAAATATTGCCCAATTTTGCTTACTAGAATTGGAATGTTACTTGTTGGGACATTACACAATAACATGCAGTATATTATCATTCTCATTTTTAATGGATAGCTTTTACAATCAGTTGTATTTGTAATACTTATCTTGTCCTCGTCCATTTGGGTCAAACTATCTTCTAAGCTAGTAATATCCGTATTATTTTTTCTAATCGCAGCATTATGTTTGAGAGCTAACTTTCTAAACTTTTCTCTCTCTTTAATTTTTATTGCTTTTTTTGATGCAATAAGATTGCGAATTTGCCTGCTGTAATAATATGTTTGGTTTTTATGTTTTAAGTCTCTAACCTGAGCTCTTAAGGCTTTTATAATATCTTCTTTTCTTTTAACACTTTGCCTTAGAACTTTTAATTTATATGGCAGGCTGGATAATTTTGCTTTCATTGAAGCTATCTTCTTACGATTTTCTATTGAAGAAATTGCTAATCTAGAAGACAAATGAGACAACCGGTTAGTTAATTTTTTCTTCCTAGGGCTCAATTTTTCTATTGAAGTCTGTCTAGTAGTTAAATTTGCTTCATGTCCAGCAGAACATGAAGGTTCATTACGTATCAGAGATGTGACACTGCTGTGTTCTGACAATGATAAAACAGAAGAATGTGATATTGTGTAATTAGTGTTACTTAAGATAGGCTGCGATAAAATTGTAATCAGTGGTTCACGGTTTATAAAGGGCTCATTACAAAATGCAACACAACTTTCATATTTTCTTAAAAAATTTTTAGACCAGTTTTTGGCTATGTACACTACTTTTTTGATATGACTAGAGCAAATATTCAAGTTAAAATGCTCATTGACTTTTGCAACTGTTTTGCTAAACAACTCACCATTGCTAGTATAAAGAAACAGAACGTGTCCATTCATGCACCCAATATTTGTGTTAGATGGCAATGTAAAATTACTAATTAAATGTTTTTTGAATTCTCCTTTAAATATGTGTCGACCCATTATACCATTAAAGCATTAAATAGTTACAACTGATGAGTTTCTTAATAAATTTAGAAATGTAAAACAAATCAAAAAAATAATATTTAAATAATAGGTTCCAAGTTTATTTGTCTTAAATATGTATATCACTAAAAAAAAGTTAAATGATCCTTACCACTCACTTTGACACTTACAATAACAGTACCTGTTTGCCACTCAGAATAACTGGTACGAATTTTGCAAGTCAAAATATTTCCATATTAAGTAATAACCATGAGATATATTAGTTTAATATTTAAAAAATCTAAAGAAAAAATAATTGTATATTTATTTTTGACAATATCAATAAATATAATAAATTAATATATGTAACTATGGTATTAATATATGTAACTAAACCGAAAGTTATACCAATATACATACAACATAGTTATGACCAAAAAGTAAACATGTAGCCCAATAAACTATTTGAAAATTAAGCAAAAATTAATTGTATTAAAATAACACTTTTCTTGCGTTAGTATTAGTATTTTGAAACCAACAACAATTAAAAGTATTATAAAAACTACTAAACAGGTAAGTAAATTAAAAAAATTTAATCAATTTTGTTGTAAAAAGCTATTGAAGCAAACATAAAACAAAAATATTTTTCAAATAAATGTTTATTTAAAAAAAAAAAAACATTACAATGTCTATAATTAGTGTAGATAGTACCTGTAAATAGCTTTCAGTGTAGATAGTACTTGTAAATAGCTTTTCACATAAATACTACCATTTACTACAATACACATACAATTTCATTGTATGATTATAAAATATTTTTATTTTCATTTTCAATTTGTTTATTAGTTATCTTTTATGCAAATAGTATTTTTTGTAGATAAGATGAGTGAAGAGATTAATTTTTAATTAATATCTTCACTCATTTTATCTAAAAAAAAGTAATATATAACATTAATAAAAAGTTTATAAAGTTTTATTTTGTTAAACTTAAAAGAATTTTAATTGTGTTGCACCCCCCCCCCCCCCTTTGCCCGCAAATGATTTCAGATTAAGGAAAATAGGTACCAAAAGTGCGCCCCAAAATAGACTGCCTGCGCCCCATTTTTTTTCAACGAAATTTGGCAGACAAATAAAAAATGTGTAAACTTAAATGGCTGCAAAAGATAGTTAATTGCTGTCCATATCTTCAATATTTGCTGGATGCACAAAGTACAACAAAGTTTTGTATGTCAATAAATCAACTTACAAAGTACGTAATAGTAATCAAAAGACACATATTAATAAAGTATAATCATTCTAGTTTTTAAAAAATATCTATGTTAATATGAAATTCTAAAAAACAAGGCAACAAAACACTGCACAACCTACCTCTCCAAATGTGAACTTCAAAAAGCGTGGCACAGAATTTTAGCACATTTATCGGTTCCGTAAAACGCGGATATCGGCGTACCTATATATTAAGGTAAAGAAGTATGCAATTTTGGACTGTAATGATAGTGATGCAGCTCCCTCTGTCTCTGGCTTTTCTGGTATTGTCAGGGGACCAGAGTTACTAGAGCCACATTCACAAATTTATTTGAAAACTTATACATTATTAAAAAATTTTGTTTTAAAAATTTTTTCTGTTTTTTTCTGCTTTTTTTTTTTTTGGCAAGGTGGAGGAAGGGAGGAGTCAAGGGGAGGGGCTTAAATACTCCACTCACTAAGTTAGTTTATGCACCACTTTCTAATACATTTTATAATGTTGTAAAATTTAGTTTTTACTTTTCAAGTAAAAAATTTTCGTTTTAATAAACATAAAAGTATTTACACCAGTTAAAAATTTTTTTATACTAGTGTGTGTTAACACTCACCACCACATCCACCCTCAACTCTAAGATAGTCTGGAATAAAATAAAAACAATTTTTTGTATATAAAAGTTTTTAATTTAATTTAAAAAATTTTTTTCATGAAAAGTCATGCTTTTTTAGATAGTAAAGATGGTTTGGTGTCCTCTCTAACCCAGTGGTTAAGAATCAGTTTACATTTGTAGCTCTCTTTTTCATCTATCTGTTGATACCAAGTTATAAATAATTATTGTTTCTAACTTGGTCAATTCTAATAATGATAAGAATTGACAAAGTTTTAACAATTTAAATGAAGTAAAACTTGGATTTGCTACTCAAAACCTCGTAACCTTTTTTTGAATTGTTTGATTTTGATAATTTTTTCACTTTTAAAATACTGTATTAATGCTCTTTCCAATATTACATAACTATATTTAATCAATTTAAAAATTTCATGTCACACACAGATATATATATATATATATATATATATATATATATATATATATATATATATATATATATATATATATATATATTAACTTATGATTAAAAACATAGACAATTTATTTATAACTTTTTTCTCATATATGTATATTGATTAGTGAATAGAGTAAAAGAAGCATATTAACTTTAAATAAATTATTTAGATTTTTTTTTATTGTCATAATAAATATTTTATGAAAAAGTATCATAGTTTGTGTTTAGGATTTATTTTATTTTAAATATGGGTTTATATTTTAGGAAAAAGTATAGATGGTCAGGAAATGAAAAAGGTTATTATGTATGTAAACTTATATTAATTTTTTTTTAATTTTGTTTATTCTTCATACCTTTATTAATACTTATAATAATCTTGGGTAAAAAAATTTAAACTTAAAATTTTTTTTTGATTTTTTTTTTGAAAAAGGTTATTATGTAAAGAAATTTATATTCTTTGAGTAAAATTAACTTTTTTTTGTTAAAACTAAATTTGTTTAGTTTAAATAAAAAATCTTCTGCGTTCAAAGTTAAAGTTAAAGTTAGGACAAAGGTATATTCATAAGTAACTCAAGATCCATCTCATCTTAAAAATGGCTTGTAAACCTGTTCAAAAAAAATTTACTACCTTAAAAAATTCTGTCACTGATTAAACACTGTTTCTCTTAATACAAAGAAGATTGATAATATTTTAAAGCAAGTACAAAAAGAACAGGAAAAAACTTTATTGTAAGGAGTTTGTAAATTATGTATGAGTAATATTATATGAATTTAACTTGGATCAATCATATAATATTTCAACCTATAAAGAATTATATATATATATAAGTTATATCATAATTATATTATATAAGTTAAACAATAGTATTTCGATTAGTAGCTTTGTAGATTGAAGAAACCTTTAAATCTATTTATTGCTCTTTATTTCATTCTTATTAAACATATATTTTCTTCATAAGTCTTTTTATATCTTAAGAAATATGTTTTAAATATATTGCTGAAATAGTTGGTGTTACATTTCAAGGTTGTTTACAATGATTACAATTAAATATGTAGTCATGTTTTGAAAAATTTATTAAAGTTTAACTTGATTAACTAAAATATTGTACTAAAAATGCTGGTCTGTAGTGCTATTAACTCAGGATACTCAGGAAAATTTTTATTTATACAAAAAATGTCGAATCTTTAGCCTATTTTTTTCCAGCAATCTGATCAACCATTAAAAAACAAAACATAAGGAGACTCGTTCCAATTTTTTTTAGTTTGAGTATGCATTTTCCTTTAAAATAAATAAAAAATATTAGGGTTGCCTTATTTTTCTCCTTTAATTATCTATGTTTAAAATTAGTCTCACATTTTGTGGTTTAAACAATTTTTTTTTGACATTAAAAAGTATTATTAGAAGGCTTTAAACTTTTTTTAAAAACCTTAATACATTTAAAGTCATTTGTTTCAAACATTGAATGAATAAACAAGAAAACAAAAAAATGTTTTTCTTTTCACAAAAATAACAAATTTATAATTTAGCAAAGAGTTCCTATTTAAATTTTTTCATTGTTTATGCAAATGTTTTGGTTTGCACTTAAATACAATTTGTTTTATCAATAATATCAGTTTACTTCATACAGAGTTTTATATTCCCTGCAACAATTTTTTTTTACAATTCTTTTTCTCACCCTTTTTTACACAACATAAAAATATGTTGAAAATCATAGTAAAATTTGTTTTCTTTTTTAATCAAATTAATGTTGTTCTGCCTCAAACAAAAATAGTATTAAGTATTTCTTTCAAAAAAGTTTTATTGTTGTTTATTTCATAATATAAGGAAACTGTGTCTCACAAATCTATAAATATACAAAGAAGATATTTTTTTATGTATGAGATGTTCATAGGATCTGAAGGAGATGTTTTTTTAAAATATGTATTAAATGTATTTAAAATTTTTTTTTTTTATATGTTTCAAATGTTTAAAGATTGTTTTGAATTTTTTTTTTTACTTATAAAAAGAATCATTTAAAAGAGGTGTTCAGATGTTTTGAACTGATTGCTGCATCTTATTTATTAAATTGATATGTATTGGGTGTTTGCTAATTACATAATAGTGATTGCAATTTTTAATTATTTAAAAAAAAAGTTTTTTTAAAAGAATAAAAAATTTTACAGAAAATTTTTAATTAAAAAAAAATTTTCTTTGTAATAATTATTTAACAAATCTTATCATTATCATTATATAATTTTAAAAATAATAAGATTTAACTGAAGCAATTAATTTTTTTTTTTAAATAACATGAAGTTTTTGAAAAAAAATTTTTTTTTCTTTTTCTTTTAGTAAATAAAAAGTAAAAACAGAAGTTTTCAATCAAATTAATTCATCTACAATTTAGTCAGCATTTATTTAAAATTGAAGTAGATATGTTTTTACGAAAAGTATATTCTATTTTACATTTCATTAATAATTAATTATATTCTTTATTATCATTGTCATTTGTAAATATGTTTTTAAATTCTATTAACAATGATTATAGCCAAAAAAGCTTTAAAATCTTTCTAAAAATTTTATTTGTTTGTTTTTGATAAGTCATGGGTATCTGGATTCGTTAACTGTGCAGCTTGCAGAAATTTCTAAATACCAGACTCCTTTCTTACTCCATAAATATAAAGAAAAATAAGCAATACAATATTAATGTAATGCTTTCAATATAAGCTTCACAAGTTCTTTTTTTTTCTTTTTTCAACATTAGTTGAAAGAAGAAGAAGAAAAAAAATTGTTTTATGTTTATGTTAGTGCTTAATGTTTTTTTTACTTAACTGTTTTTACCAACAATAACACACTCTGCTGTATGTCACCAAAAAAAGTCTCACAATAATTTTTATGTACTGTTTTGTAATGATAAGATGTTTATTAAACCTATTTAATATTAAGCTTAATGGCTGTTTAATATTTTACCATTTAAAAAAAAAAAAAACACCTAACTTAAGTTGCACACACAACCTAAGTTACTTGGTGACATTCAAATAACTCTATTGCACATGCAATCTCTGATAATTGTGGGTTTTTTGGGGATTGGGGGATTTTTGGGGGTTTTTGAATTTTTTTTCTTCATCCTCCTCTTCTTCATCTTCTGCACAATTTCTAATTTAAAAGGACTCCAGAACTTTTAAATCTGTGGTATCACTTGTTTCATTTTATGCATTTATTTATATTTATGCATTTATGCATAAATACTTGCATTTGCATAATACTTGTATGTATGACATGATGCATAAATACTTTGAATGTGCATAAATACTTGTATTTATGCATCGTTACATATGCATGCATATTTTACATATTTATTTATACTCAAGTTGCACTTTGACAATCTTGTATTTAACCATATTTTTGATAAAATTGTAGCAAAATAAATAATGTATTGGTAAATATACTTACAAAAAACAAAAACAATTTGGGTTAAAAACAAAGATCACAAAAGTGTTGTAATATGAAGTTTTTTTAATGAACAACATTCATTAAAAAAAAGTAAAAGATTGTGAAGAAGATTATGTTAAATTTTTTTTTTTTAATGCATAAACATTTTTTATAAGCAGTAAATAAAATTTAAATGTGATAAGTAAATAAGACTTTGTGCTTAGAAGAAGACTTTTTGGTTATTGATTTTGTAAAAATCTAATCTAGCCTAAATTGGTAATAAGAGATTTTTTTAAAAATTAAAAAACTGTAAACAAGAGAGTCACAAGTTTTTATAAATCTTTTTTGTAATTAAACTTTGAACGAAAAAGTTCAATATTTTGAATGAAAGTGTTTGATGTTCAAACTAACGAGTTTAATGTTTTGAACATTTGAAGTTTTTGTGTTTCAAATAAATGCTTCTAAATTTTTTATAAATGACAAAAAATTTTTAAACAAATTATTTGTCTTTTTAAACAAATTTTTCTTTGGAACATGCTTCTTTTAAATTATTATATTTTTAAATGTGTTTATGTATTATTTTTTATAATTAGAATTAAAATAAAGTAATAAAATAAAGTTTTGTTTAAATTTAAACTTTATTCATATTCAGAAAATTTCCATATAAAAATTATAATAATATAAATTATTATCTTGAGAACCTTCATTTAAAAAATTTTCTGCAATAAAAATAATAACTTTTAATTTTGCTTAAAGCAAATTTTAACTTCTTTTGGTGGTTTCCAAATTGCTGGAAATGTCACTAAAAGACTGCAACTTTCCTTATTCCCATGTGTGTTTCATTTCTGCATCTCTTGCAATCACAAGATTGCAAGAGATGCAGAAAAGACATGCAAAAAATAAATATATATGTACAAAATATTGGCTTACAGTTATCATTTTTATTTAAAATAAAGTGTGAGTGCATTTATTTTGTTTGTTTGAAAAGAGTGAGTGTAATTTAATTTTTTGAAGGTGTTGATTCCCAATCGTGATCCTGTAGCAGAGCTTTATCGGTTATTTCCTCAACTTCTGCCAGGAGAGAAACCATTAAATGGTAATATTTTAATGTTTATCTAGTATTTTTGCTTTTAAAATTTTACTTTATACAATATTATTTAAAATCAATAAGTATATATATTCATTTATTGATCTAACTACATCTGGTTTCAGGAACCTTTTCATAGCAAAGATCAAATATTAAGATCAAATATCAAATATTAAGATCAAAGATCAAATATTAAGATCAAAGATCAAATATTAAGATCAAAGATCAAATATTAAATTTTGATCTAATTTAAAGATTGAGCCAAAATCCAAGACCCACATAAAAAATGTTATAATATATATCTCATTTATTATGCACACAGTATAACTTAATTAATACAACAAACAAAATTTTTTATTACACAACTCTCGTTTTTATTACACGATAATATAATTTTGCATTAAAAAAATGTGAAACAAAAATAAGAAAAAGAAATTTAGCCAAGTTTCTATTATTGATTTTCTTAAAATGTTGCCTTAATAATCAGTACTTTAATGCAAGACTAGCAATTTATCTCACTGGATCTGACTGGAGGCTTATCTCACTAGATCTAAATGGAGACATTTAGTTTTCTACTTAATTTTCTTTTTATATAACTCAGGCCTCGGCAGGAAGCGAGAGCTTCAGCTCTCGCTCTTGCCCACACTCCCCTAAAACAGTTTACAGGAGCAATTTATGGCTCTCGCAAAAGTATAATTTTTCTCATGAAGTTATAATTGAAATTACAAAAGAGTGCTAATTTAAATGAGGAGCAGCTCGCACAGCTCCCCAAATTTGTTTTAGGAGAGCTTTTCTCAGCTCTCGTGCTCATTTGTTCTCGTCGAGGCCTGTAACTCGTGTCTGAAAATAATTTTTCACAAAAAAATGTTGATCCCATGATTGAGAGAAGCCCAAATGAAAATTTTTTAACTGATAACAGATGTCAGGTAAACAGTTACAAACATCAAAAGTAATTTAATCTTATTTTTAACCTCACTTATTTTAGACTATTTGAGCTTTGTCAATTTGAAATTATTGGTTGATTTAAATTTATTTCAATGAGTTTCATCACAAATGACAAGACTATTTTTTTTTCCTAAATTCTTAAAATTAACCAGCAAGTAAAATTTCCATTTTCTCAACAGCTTTTTTCTCAGTTTGCATGTATTTATGTATGTATTAGTGCTAAAATGTGTAATAACTTAACAGCGCTAATGTCTCTTGCAAATAAAGGCAGTTTTTTGCTCAAAAGCACTTTTTCCAAGTGCAATTTTTTTTTTAAAGATTTTATTTAAAATGTGCAAGTGAGAAATCATGTCAACCATGAAGTAGTATATTTGTAACCAATCAACTTTGATTATTTAATTTACTTCTCTTTTAGCCATGTATTTACAATATAGCAAGCAGCATATTGTTTTAGAAATTGGCTTTTAGGCAACTATTGTACCTTACCTACCTTTTAGACGAAAGAAGTTTAGAGTATTCATAACAGTTTCTTGCAAAACTGGTTCACACTATTTACCATTAATTTTTTAACAGTTCTCACTATTTGTCATTATTTTTGTCAACAGTTTAACCTACTAATTCCTTAATAACTTTGAGAATTTTAAAAATTTAAGAAATTTATTTTTGAAATCCAAGAAAAAAGGATTTTTTAAAGAACTTACAGCTTTGCATATAAAAAGAAAATTATGTGATATTTTGATGACAGCTAAATATCTAGAAGAAGTTCTTTCATTATTTTCATTTTTTAAAATTATTTATTTTAGTTTCAATTAGAAATTATTTTTAGTTACATGATTTTAAAAACCATCATTGATTATTATATTCCCTACTTGAGGGCCTCTTGTTGTAATCGAAAACTTAGTGGCTCAAAAAATAGTGAGTTTTAGATTGAGTATAATTACTATTTGAATATCTAGTAGGATATTCATGCTGTATTTTGAAGGTTGTTGAGGTTTAAATACACTTTGATAAATAATTCACAATTGAAAGAAGTTGTTATTTTATAAAGTTATTATTTACTAGAAGTTATAATTTTACAAAGTTATCATTATTATTTTATAAAGATATTATTTATTAAGTTATCATGTACAATATTGCTTAAATTAAAATTGGTTTAAATGTAAAATTAGAATCAATTAAATATTGATTAGAAAAGAAATTATCTTTATTGTTTTAAAAGTTGAACATGAACATTATGATATGAACTTTTTAAAATGCTATCCAAGTGTCAAATGATAAAATTTATTGGGCAAAGGAACCAGTTCTACTTGATGTTAGCCAAAGAGTTCCATGTTACTTGCAAGCGGCAGGTTTCCAACCCTTGATCTCTCTCCCTATAAATATTTTGCATTAAAAACTCAGTTATATATACAACAGATAATATGTATCTAAGGACACAATTTCCAAATATAATTTGTGCATTTTAATTCTTAAAAATATATGCTTTAGTTTTTCAAAAAAGAAGAAAGAAACAAAGAATAATGATAAGGAAGATTGCTGCCTTTGCCCAAACATTTAGTCATTATAATTTCACTCCTTGCATGTTCTACCTATTTAGTCAGTTGATGTATGTACTGAAGCCCTTTTTTAGATCAGATAAGTTATATATATATATATATATATATATATATATATATATATATATATATATATATATATATATATATATATATATATATATATATATATATATATATATATATATATATATATATATATATATGTATATATATGTATATATATATATATATTTATATGTATATATATATATATATATATATATATATATATATATATATATATATATATATATATATATATATATATATATATATATATATATATATATATATATAGAGAGAGAGAGAGAGAGAGAGAGAGAGAGAGAGAGAGAGTAACATAAATACTATATATACATACATGTATATATGTATGTATATATAGTATATATGTTATTGTTACCTGCAGTACCAGAAATTAATACAAGGAAATGCTAATGTTTATAATATACATAATTTCTGAAAATGTTGTATGCTATAAAGGTAGGAAAAACTAGTAACAATTTGTTATCTATATACGCTTTAATATATATATATATATATATATATATATATATATATATATATATATATATATATATATATATATATATATATATATATATATACTATCACAGCAAATTGTGAAATCTTATATATATATATAAGATTTCACAATTTGCTGTGATAGTTGCTGATTATGTCCATGTAAATTATAATCTGATAGCAATTGGGCATATATTTAAGGAACTACAAAGTCTATTTTTTCTATTTCGTTAGTGATTTTATACTGTTGATTGAGGTCGCCTCTTTTTTGGTGCTCTTCTAGAGTAGTATGATTGAGTAAGGCCAGTCTTTCCCCATAGCTTTTTTGTTTTATTTCCCTTATCACCTTTGTTACTTGATGTTGAATACATTCAAGTGCTTTTATGTCACTTTTTAGGTGAGGAGACGAGGTTTGGATGGCATACTCGAAATGAGGTCTAATGTATGTTGTGTAGAGTACCCTCTATTACATTAGCCCTCTTGTGTGAAAAGATTATTTTAGTTTGCCAAGTACTTGGTTTGCTTTAGCTGCTGCAGCTTCTAATTGATGCTTAACTTCACGTTCAATAATTGTTGTTCCAAGTTCTGTTCAATTACCATATATGTCAAGCATTGAGTAAAAGCGTACTGATCTATTTGAGTGACCAACATGCATGACTTTACATTTGTCTAGATTGAAATACATGAGCCATTTTTTAGACCATTTGAATGCATGATCTATGTCTTGTTGTAGTTTTATTGCATCATCTTCTGCTTTTATTACCCCTAAAATCTTGCAATCATCTGCGTAGATAGAGCACCATGTTGTCTGGAATCTAGATTGAAATACATGAGCCATTTTTTAAACCATTTGACTGCATGATCTATGTCTTGTTGTAGTTTTATTGCATCATCTTCTGCTTTTATTACCCCTAAAATCTTGCAATCATCTGCGTAGATAGAGCACCATGTTGTCTGGAATGTTGTTTATATAAATTAGAAACCAAAGTGGACCTAACACTGAACCTTGTGGAACACCACTAGTAACATCTACCCATTCAGACTTGCTATTGCTGATGACCACTCTCTGTTTTCTATTTTTTAACCAGTCAGTTATCCACTCCAGTAGTGTTTCATGTATGCATGTATTATGTAAGTATAAATATACTTATACAAATATAATATATAAATAACTTATATACTGACGTATATTTTGAGAAATGTGTTTGTAAAACTAGTGATGTTAAGTTTTTTCTTTTGTTGTTTGTAAGCACATTTCCAAAAGTTTCAATTCAATGTTATATAACAAATATTTGTTATACGTATGGTTTATTGAAACTTTTTTTTTAAATTTTTAGTTGCGTTCAACTTTTTTAATAAATAGACTTAAACATAAGCTTATATTATTAACTGATTCAATTATATTAATAATATAAGCTTATACTATTAACTGATTTGAAGATACCAGTAAAATATGTAGTTTATTAACTTATATTTGACAAAAAATATTTGAATTCCAACATTTTAATATTTTTTTTAATTTTAAATATATTAATCATTAATTAAATGAATCTGATCAAACCTGTACGGAATTGAAGCTTTAAGTGAAGTTTGATAAGTATTACGCTAGATATTTATATTACACTAGATATTTATAAATACTACACTAGATATTTATAAGAATTACGCTAGATATTTAATTTTTTAACATTAAAGTTTGGAATTTTCAATGAAGTGTTGCAAGTTTTGATATTTTATTACATGGACTTTTATGCAATTTGAATTAAAAGTTCTATGTATATATATATATATATAAATATATATATATATATATATATATATATATATATATATATATATATATATATATATATAAATATATATATATATATAATATATATATATATATATATATATATATATATATTTATGTATAATATATATATATATATATATATATATATATATATATATATATATATATATATATATATATATATATATACATATATATATATATAATATAATATAATATATATATATATATATATATATATATATATATATATATATATATATATATATATATATATATATATATATATAAAAGTAAATCATAAAAAAGTAAATTAAATAAATAAAGAAAACATGAAGATAAAATAGATTTCTAAAGCATTCATAATACAGGAAAAAAACAGGAAAAGTAAAATTTTTTAAAGCATGAAGGGACAGATACAGTAAAACTTTGCTTTATAATGAGTCACACGAGATTTAGTTTTGGTTGGTGGAATAAGAGATAATAGCTTATTTCAGTAGCAACCATGATTATATCTAAATGTAGTATTTCAGCAGTGGCCATAATTGTATTTACATTTAAATATAATATTTGTGGAAAAAAGAATGAGAAGCAAGCTTAAGACAATAAGAGAAGGTTCAAGTTTGTCAGCTAAAACAGGTTTAACTAAATTTTTTTAAAAACAGGTTTAAATACATTTTGTTTAAAACAGGTTTACAATATTTAACAACATTTAAAACATTTACAATGTACATTTTTGCAACTCCCAAGCTAAATAGCGGTTGTTAGCAACCTTGTTGGCAGTGAATTAGTATACTATATATATATATATATATATATATATATATATATATATATATATATATATATATATATATATATATATATATATATATATATATATATATATATATATATATATATATATATATATATATATATATATATATATATGTATATATATACATATAGTACATATACTGTTGCTTGTTCATTTATACATCAAGGTAATCTATCAATTAAAATTTTTTTTTTCAATTGATAAGTTGCCTTTCCAAATCAAAACCCTTAGTCGATGTAGTGGCACTCCTTACATGTTCTCCCTATTGAAATTAGTGGATCTATGTAAACTCCAAGCATGTCCTCCCTATTTAATTAAATTAATGTATGTACCCTCCTTGCATGTTGTTTCAATTTAAGTCAGTCAATGTATTGCACCTCCTGTATGTTCTCCCCATTTAATTGATTTTTTTTTTATGTGTGTGTAGGATTTACTTGTGCTCTTCAAAAAGATATTCTTTTACAAGGAAAGATGATTATTTGCACTAACTGTATTTGTTTTCATTCTAATATCTTTGGTTATGAAACTAAGGTCAGTTTTTGTTAGTAAATATTTATGTTAATACTTGTATACTTTTTACAAGCTCATATTTCAAACTAAAAAAGCCTCAAATCTTGTTGACTTTTATTAAGTGTTTGTATAGTTACAAATAAGTACCATTTCTACTTTTTTTTTACTTTGGTTTTTACTTTTAAGGAGGCCTCTCAACAATAGTATTTCAGTTTAAAGGAAATCCCCCACCTGCCCAAGACAAGCTGTGTTAATATTTTAAAAAAAGCCTAGAAATTAAGTTCAGAGTTGATTAAACTTATCAAAAAAAAAAAAAAAATTATTTATTGAGGTATTAGCAAATTTTTTTAAAGCCTTTCCATTTTTGCAAAGGAAAGTTTTAACTTTTTGATTTTTTCTTCTAAATGTAATTATATTTTATTGTTTGGGTTTTCTCTTTTTTAATATGTTTACAATAAAAATAAATTTTATTAAAGAATTTCAATGATAGCCAACATGCTATTATTAAAATATATTTTTTTTAATTTTGAAAAATTTCAGGATCATATTAAAATCTAATTATTAAAACGAAACATTGGAAGAGATTTAGGAGTTTTAATATGCTGATCAGAGTAGTAGCTGCAACAGTAAATTAGGTTTGCCAAAGCTTTTAATTATAATAGCTGCATATTGTGCATACATAACACCACATCTCAAATTTGCTATAAATTAGAGATGTGGTGTAATGAGATGAGATGTAAATTTGTATTGTATGTATGTATTTATTTGAGATGAGATGTAAATTTGTATTGTATGTATGTATTGTATATATATATTTGTAAGTAGGGAATCTTTACTTTAAAGATGATGTTGGTATACTTAAAAATGTGCTAAGTTGATACCTCAAATTAGATACCTAATTTTTTTTTTACTCAATATATTTTTCGATAAAAGATTTTACAATCGAGGTCATTTACAAATAGTTAAAAACTAGTCTTAAGTAAATACCATGAAATAGGATTGATAATACAAATAATAATGATGATATATTAAAAGTTATATGAATAATAAGAAAATTATATGATAATAAACCAATATCAATTTTAAAACAACAACTCAATATAATGCACAGACAAGAAAGTTACAAACAGTTATGTACTGACAAAACAAAACAACCTACCATGTAACTAAAACAATTACTGCAAAAAAAAGTAACAATGATTTAACAAATATAATAATCTTAATATCAATAAACATAATAAAAACAATAAAAGTAAAATAAATACTTCATTAAAAAATAATAAACAAACAAAACAAAAATTATTCAATAATACTTGCAAATAAAACCGTGTCACACACACACAAACATTTAGTTACGAAAAGTATATAGTTTTCGTAATAAATGACAATATTAAAATAAAAAAGTAAATCATATCAAGCAAACACCATATTGTCACTCAAAAAAAATAAAATTTAAAAAATATTCTTTTTTCTTTCTTCAAAAACGGAGCAATTTTTATATTTTATTTTAATTCCTGTTTAATTATTTTCCATTTTCGAATGTTTTTTTCTTTTAACATTTGTTTTTTGTCTTACTTTTTTCTTTTCTCGTTTCTTTTTTCTTTTGTTAATTTGTTTGATTTGTTTTTTAATTTTATTTAGTTTTTTATTTTTCTTCATTTTCTTTATTTTTATGATATTTATTTTTCTTATTTTATTCTTTTTTCTTTATCTTTCTTTTTTTTTTTAATCTATTTATAAAATTTGTTATTAAAAATGTGCCATTCATTCCGGAAGTCTCTGCATTGAATTGAAGCGCCTGCCAACCCGAAAGTCTCAGCATTTTTTTTATATTTATATTTATAATTTATTTAAAGTATAAATAAAATTCAGCAGAACTTCTCTTAATAGAAAGTAATACTATAAGAAAAAAGAATAATCTAGTGTAAGAAAAAAGAATATAATAATAAATAAAAAGAATAACCTAATTTAAGAAAAAAGAATAATTTACCTAAATATAATAACATTGACCAAAAGTATGGAATCATAAATAGATTTGGTATGGAGTCATAAATAGATTTAACATGGCTTTAAATCTCAAAAGCAATACTTATTTTTTATTTAAAACCAGTAATGTAACATTTTGAAACAGGCTGTTTACTTTTTTTTTTCAATGTCACCCCAAAACTGTTAGTTTTTAGGAGAGAAGTAAATATGGCCTTAGAGGTTGTTAAAATTTACTCTAATAAAATCAAAAAACTAAAAATAATATATTTGGGATTAAGTGAAATAATATACAAATAAATTTGATTTAGTGATTTTCCGTGAAAACAAAAAAGTGTTTTTTTTTTTAAACAAAAGTATTAAAAAAAAAAAAAAGCCAGATCAAATTTTAGCTACAAGTGAAAACTGAAATGCTTAATAAGCTGAAATGCAGTGAAAACATTTTATTATAATCACCAATGATAAATTTATAAAAAGGGAAAATCCAAATTAATTCTTTTAAAAAATCTCTATGTGAACATACTATCGTTCATCAAGCCAGATGTTTTTACTACAAAACTAATGCAATATTGTAAGGCTTAAAAACGAAAGTAAGTTGACGCGTTGTAGGTTGGGGAGTAGTAAGATGACAAGTAAGTTGATGAGCAGTTAGTTGACGAGCAGTTTGTTGACAAGTAGTTGACGTAGTAAGTTGACAAGTAAGTTGACGAGCAGTTAGTTGACAAGTAGTAAGTTGACAAGTAGTAAGTTGATGAGTAGTTAGTTGATATGAACAAAATTTATTAAAGATATGAACAAAATTTGTCTCGGAATTAGTTAAGAAGATTTAAAAAAAAATGAGTGCAATTAAAATATTAATATTTAGTTTATAGACATTTTATAAATATAAAGTTAACAATAAGTAATTTGTCTTTTGTTCTTCTTGACTCGATGAAATTTTAACATGTGTAAAGTGTTATTGAATGTGTTATTTAAAAATTGTTATTTTTGAATGTTATTGCATATAGTGTTGTTGAATGTTATTGAATATAATGTTGTTGAATGTTATTGAATATAGTGTTATTAAATGTTATATACAAATTTGACAAAATGTGATTTTAAATTTTTTTTATTTATTTACAGGTTGTTATATATTTAAGAAATGTGCTTAATATTCAACGTGAAAAGACAGTATTTATTGTACCTAATGCTATTTCTATTGCTACACTTAACAAAACGGTAATTTTTAATTGAAACTGTTGCAAAACTTTAATATTAACATTTAGTATATAAAATAGTTAATATTAATTGTTAATTATAAGAATTTTAACTAGATTAGTTTCTTTGATTTTTTAATGATTTTTTTAAAATATTTATATAAAACAAATACAAACAAGTTATTACCTTGAAAATATATTACCTTGTTTAAACATTTTCATGTTTTTATATTTTTAGTACTTTTTCTGTTCATTCCTGTCACGTGAAACTGTGTATAAACTCTTGATACAGAAATGGAAAGATGTTGAAAGCATTGACAGCAGGGTATTTTTTAATATAATATAAATATGATAATCAAGATAACAATACAAATAGCATAGTATTTAAAAAAAACAACATAAAAATTTGCAATAATAACTAGATAGTAATATATATATATATATATATATATATATATATATATATATATATATATATATATATATATATATATATATATATATATATATATATACAGTGGCGTACACTGGATTTTTAGATGTTTGAGTTTTGACATTTACAGGCATTGTGCAAACTTTAAACTTTTGTATATTCATGCTTATGTCAAATGAGAATGTTTTGCAAAGAGTTGCGGTGATTAGAGCTTGGGGACAAAAAAAACCCAATTTTTGGGCCCACCCAGCCCTTAAAGTGGGAGCAACAAGTTTATAAATAATTTCTTTAGCATTTTTATCTAAGTTTATATTCATCAATAAATTTCAAATTTCATGCAATAACCACTTAGTGTTAAGTTTTTATGACCCTACAAAGTTTACAGCCCCCTCTAATTGAGGGGGGTTAAAACTTTATATGGTCACAATTTTCGAAAAGTAAGAGATTGTTGCATTAAATTTGAAATTTGTTGATGAATATAAACTTAAATAAAAAACTAAAAAAATTATTTTATAAATTTGTTGCTTCCACATTAAACGCTAGATGGGCCCAAAAATTGGGTTTTTTTTGTCCCAAAGCTCTTATCACCGCAACTCTTTGCAAAACATTTTCATTTGATATAAGCATGAACATATAAAAGTTTGGAGTTTGCACAATGCCTGTAAGTGTCAAAACTCAAACATCTAAAAATCCAGTGTACACCACTGATATATATATATATATTTGAGCAGCCGTGGGTCAGTGGTAGCGCACTTGCCTCAGAAACGTAAGATCCGTGGTTTAAACCCCACATCTGGGCAAGTTTTGCAACATCGTTTGGAAAGGAGGCGTGAACTTCCTATTAAATGCTCTTCCGCGGTGCTCTGTGATAAGACCGTAAGGATCAACTTAAATCAACTTAAAAAAAAACAAAACAAACTATATATATATATATATATATATATATATATATATATATATATATATATATATATATATATATATATATATATATACAGTGACGTATCCAGAAATAATTTGGGCATACCGGTCTAAAAATCCTGTCTACCTTAGAGTACCTTTTTTTTTTTTACTCAATTTTAAATACAATTATTTTTATATAATATTTAACTAACCCTAGTATTTTAATTTTTTTCTAATAAAAATTTAAAAAATTAACCAAAATAATGTTACATTTATTACAGAATGACGGCTTTAACTCCAACATCAATTCATTGCTAATCACTACTTTTCATTTACTTGCTCTATTCGCTTACTAAAACAAGCAATAGCTATAACATTTAATAAACAATATTTGTTTGACTCTTTGATATAGACTTGATAAGATTTATTACATAGCATATTTATTGCATAACAAGGTAAATCCATTTGAAATTTTAATTACTTCATTCAAAAATTAATAATTTTTTTTTCTAGTTTTACTCGTACTTTTCAAATCAAGTTTTTTGGTGCGAATATCAAAATATAATTATGTTTTAAAAACTTTTATTTGTTTTATTATTTATAATACAAGTATTTATAATACAATTTTACTGTTATTTGAAATGAAAATGTTTAAAGCTAATTTAAAAATTATGTTATGAAAACGTAAGTGAAGGAGAAACTCAAATTTATGTATTTTAAAAATGTTATTTAAAAATGTTAAGTGTTTAATATTTTAATCCAATCAAAACCTGCGTTTTACATTTAACCCAATTACAACATTTTCTATATTTCATCAACATGAATTGGAATTAAGCATTCTAGTTGGCTTAAAATACATTTATAATGTATTTTAAAAGTCGTTTTTCGAAAGTTGGTTTTTCTAAGCAACATTAATATTGTAACAAATGCTAATATAAAATTGTTTTAAATTGAGTTTGGGCTGAAATTTGGGGGCCCATACTGGTATACCGGTATCAAAATCGGCCCCGATACGTCGCTGATATATATATATATATATATATATATATATATATATATATATATATATATATATATATATATATATATATATATATATATATAAATGTATGCATATATATACGTTTATATTATACATATATATAAGCATATATGTATATATATATATATGTTTATATTATTAATATATAAATGTGTGTGTCTATGTGTGTGTGTGTGTGTGTGTGTGTGTGTGTGTGTGTGTGTGTGTGTGTGTGTGTGTGTGTATGTGGGCATTCAGCAATGCCAACCTAACTGGTGACCTAACTGCCGACCTTAAAGTGTTTTACGTCAGCAAAAATTTGTCAACCCTGTTTCTATGTTTTACGGTATAACTTTTGTATTAAATTGTTTTTGTCAACCTGATGCCGACCTCTTAAAGATTTAAGTTGGCAAATTATTGCCATCTCATTTTTCCTAATTCCAAAAGCTGATATATATATATATATATTACATATATTACACACACACACACACACACACGCATACACACACACACACACACACACGCACACACACACACGCATGCACACACACACACACATATATATATATATATATACATATATATATATGTATATATATATATATATATATATATATATATATATATATATATATATATATATATATATATATATATATATTATTTAATAATTTTAGATTTTTTAGTTGTTATTTATGTATATGTATATATATTTATATTATTTTATATATACAGGGGTCAAAATAGGTGTCAGACATCATTGCCCCTCAAACCATTTTTATGATCTGTTAGAGGAGGGCAGCTTATCATCATTCACTTTTTCAGTAAAAATGAACAATGTTGGCTTGCCCTCTTCAAGCAGGTTTCAAAAATGGGGGGGCGCCGATGTCTGACACTCTTTTTGACCCTGGTATATATATTAGGGTGATTCTAAAAACAACTTTATTTGAAAATGTCTGCTGGCACCCTTTGAATTTAGTTTTATATAGAAGAATATAATACTGGATTTAAAAAACTTTTCAATAAAAAATATTTCAGGGGTTGCTACAGACCCTTAAATATTAAATCAGTCCCTAATATTATCAAAAAAAAAACATTAAAAAAAAATTATAATCAAAAAATTCTTTTTAAATTCCCTATTTTTCGTTTTTAGTTAAAATAACGTAATTTTCTATTCACTAAAATCTAAAATAATAATTTAATGGTAAAGTGATTTTAATTTTTGAATTTTTTATATTTTATTTTTGCTTCATTTGAGACCAACATGACATACTTCTATAAAACTTTTGATAATATTAGAGACCAATTTAATGTTAGAAGGTCTGTAGCAACCCCTAAAAATAATTTTTATTGGAAAATTTTTCAAATCCAATATTATATTGTTATATAGATATTTTCAAATAAGTTGTTTATATATATATATATATATATATATATATATATATATATATATATATATATATATATATATATATATATATATATATATATATATATGTATATATATATATATATATATATATATATATATACAGGGGCTATTCTAGGAAAAAAGTTTTGGCGGTGGTACCCCCTCATTCCAGAGAAATTTAGCGGAAAATTGGCGTTTTTTTACACACAAAAAAAACAATATAAGCCGTAAAAAAAGTAAAAAAATAAAAAATGTCCTCAAATTTAAATTTGGGTGACGCCCAAAATATATGGTCTATGCTGTTGAAAACGGTCTAGAATAGTCCCTGACATATATATGTAATAAATTATTTTTATCATTATTTTCTTTTGTTTTTTTGCAGAGCTTAAAAAGTTTTTCTGAAAACAATATAATAGGTAAACTGTTTTACTAATAATACTTGTGATGTAAAATTGTACTTTTAAATAAAGTTCTAGTTCTACATTTCTACTTCTAAATGATTTTAAATGTACTTTGGAATAGAATTGTAAAAAAATTTATTTTCTTTTTATCCAAATCCAAAAGATTTTTAGTCAAAATTTGATTCAGAAAAAATGAAACAAATTCAAGTAATACATGCAGTATTTTAATATAAGTAATACATGCAGTTGTTATTGCATTTGCTCAAAAATTTAATTCGTTTCTTGAATAAAAATGTTTCTAATATATATATAAATATATATTTTTAAAAAAAAGCCTTAAAAATATATGAAAAACTTAACTATAAAATACACAGTATTATATTATGACTACTTTTTATTTGGCTAAAAAATTCAAAGGAAGCTTAAAAGAAAATTTTTATGAGCAACTTTATGGACTTTTTGGTTAATTTATTCCAAAAATATGCAATCAATTAATTATAAAAATAGTTAAACTTAAATATTCTAATTTTGAATCTCCTTCTTAAAACTTAGGTTGAGTTTGAAATAAATTGATCTAATTAATATATATATATATATATATATATATATATATATATATATATATATATATATATATATATATATATATATATATATATATATATATATATATATATATATATAAATATATATATATATATATATATATATATATATATATATATATATATATATATATGTATATATATAAATATATATGTATATAATAGTATATTAATAAAATAAAAAAATAATAAAAAAATAGCAGTAGTTAATAATAATAATGATTTAATTTAAATTTTCTAGAAATACACTATACACCGATATTTCACACTATTATTTTACTATAGAAAAAAATATTGACTATCTGCTCCTCAAAATCTTGGCTAAAATAAACATTTATGATTTTTAGACGCAAAACCAATTTTTAAATTTTTATAAAATGCTGCTGTTTTTCTTTGGGGTTGGACAAAATGCATTTTATATTGGGAGGTAATTTTTTTTTTATGGGTGAGGGATTCAGGCTACGTATCATGTTTATATTATCATATGAAACAGTTATTTGGAATCAGATAAACTTAATTATAAGTAAGTAATTTCATATGCATTTATAAAAGCACAGAATGACTTTTAATATTTTGTTTTTTTTAGGATGTATAAGCACGCAAAAAGATCGACCTCATACCTCCCCTCCATCTTTCACAAATATCTCTGAAAGAAATTACCTGAACAGATGTTTTGGAGTCAATGAAGAAATACTTTGTCTAGACAATGACATTTTTTATCATGGAACCATGTCCTTTAGTTCTTTGTGCAAATCAAGAAGCATAAGCGATATTAAAGAACTTTCTATGCTTAGAAAAAACTTTGGAATTCAAAAAACTGCAATTGTTGAAGAAGAACTTAAGCAGTTATATAAAATTACTGTTCAAGGTATTGATTTGTTAATACACAAATGAAATTTGAAAGTGGGATTCTGTGATTAAATCAGAAGGTTATTTAAAATCTTTTCATTTTGTTCTGGTCATAGATATAGTATGTGATAGTTGCATAGTTGCATAGGATATATAGAATAAAATTATTGGTATTCAGCAAAACTTTTGTTCGAAAGATCATTTAAATCAAACAAATTGATCTCTTCAAGGTTTTTTTTGGTCCTTCAGAATTTATATTTTAGGATTGAAGTCTTATACAGCAGAAACTCTTGTAGTTCAAACATATTTTGAGATCCTTTGATTTAAATTACATTAGTTTAACTCTACAATGGACATAGCAAAATTATTGATTTATGAAAAGTAGCATTCATTTCAAATTCGTGATTTATAATGAAGACTGGGTTTTAATATTTATTATTTAATGCTGAGTATAAATTTGAAGCTATATTTTCACAAAAATATTTTGTCATTTTTTAAATTTAACATTTGATAAATTTTTAATTTTTAATTTTTTTATTTTGCAGATAAGATAATCAAAAAGTCATTAGAAACACCACATAAAACATTATTTGAATGGTAAAAAATTTGTATTAAAATTAAAAAGCAAAACAATACTTTTTTGTTAAATTTTTTTTTTAGATAGGTTAAGGAATATTTTATTTTTATATAAATCTTATTTTATTTTTATTAAAATTATACTTATAAAAAATGCAAAATAATATTTATAATAATTACTTGTAAGTATAATTAATTCTGCATAAAACAACATAAAAGTTCTTAACAATTTTTAATAATTTTAATTTTTAATAATATTTATTTTAGTATTCGACCTAAACAACTTCTTATTATTCTTGTGGTTATTTTGTAAGTATTTTTAACATTAATTTTGATTATATAGAATTTTGTTGTTTTTTTATTATTAACAGTTATTTTATACTTTTTTTTGTTGTTGAGGTTTTCAATTCAAAAAATGCTTTCAAATTTGATATAAAAACACACAAATATTTTATAATATTCATTAAATAAATAAAATAAAAATAAAACTTTATTTTTTTGTTTACCTTTATTATAAGTACAGAATTACCATGATGGATGATTTTTTAAAAAATGTTATAAATAATGGTGAAATTACTTCAGTACTTTATAATGAATGATTTTTAAATTTTAGTATATTCTTTGTTTCTTTATCAATATTGGTGCGTATTAATTATATTTCTAATATACTAAGTTTGGATTCGAACAATAAAAGGTAGAGATTTTTTTTACCAATTTTTGTTTTGTTGTTGATAAGTTTATTATTATTTATTATAATAGTAATAATAAAAATTATTTTAAAAATTCATTGTTATATATTTTTTTTGTCTCAGTGAAACGACAAAGTTTGAGAAGCTTTACATATATAATCATCAAACTCACTCTGATAAAATAAAACAGTACGTTTTTTTAATTGTAATATATAAAAATATTTTTAGAAACATTGTTTTTTACTTTATTTACTTTCCCAAGGTCAAGTCTTCAATTGAGAAATCATTTTTTAAATTTATTTTATGATAGTTGTTATTACCCTATAACATGCTACTGTGTGGAAAAACAAACTGAGTTTGGTACTATCAGGTACTATCAGAGACATCATAGTGATTGAGCTCTGTAGTTTTTGCTTACAAAGAGAGCTTTCTGCCTCTATTTTATTGTAAATGTCATCTTAATAACAAGTAAAAAAAAAAAAAGTTTCATTCTGGTTCATATTTAAACTTAACTGACTAGAATATATACAGGAGATCATAATGATAGCAGAAGTTGCATTTGTATTTTTATTGAAATAACTATTGAATTTCTGAAATTTTTAATACCATATTTATTAAAAATTTTTAATAATTTATTAAAGTATTTATTGAACATATTTAATGTAAAATAAAAGTAGCTAGTAGAGCAATTTTTTTGGGACCACCAAATGGGACACCAAATGGGACCACCAAATGGGACACCAAAAGGGACCACCAAATGCAACAGCAGAACTGAATAAGCAGCAAAATTATGTCATTCATGAAGCAGAGGGGGAAGCAGAGTTTGCTTTAATATTATTTTATTACTTATTAGAGTATAAAAAAAAAATCCAAACTTAAATAAAGTGACAATATATTCTAACGGCTGCACCTCTAATTTAGAACCATCTACTGCAGTAATGGTTTTAGCAACATATTTTCTACAAGCAATTAAAACAGTTTCTTCATTTCATATTGGTTCAAAAATGCAGGGGATTAAAGCTCTCATATTTATACTTGATTTTATGATTTATAAGTGTTGTTAATGCAAATGTTTGGTCATTTCTTCCAGAAAAAAATAATCAGCAAGAATAGTATAATAACCATAATTATTGTTAAAGTTTAAAATTACTTAAACCTTCTTTGGGCACAAATTGGTTACAGACCTCATCTCCTTTGAAAAAGGTTTAGGAATTTAAATCCATTTTATTCATAGTCCAGCTCTCAACTTATTTCTTCAAAACAGTCTTGTCTCTTAGAGTAAAAATGGATATTTTGTTATTTTAAGTTAAAACTGTAAAAGCACATATCTGTTTTACCATTTAAAACTAAAAAAAACTAAAAGAATAAATAAAAGCTAGATTCATATCTACATTATAACGCTGCAGCTGTTGTAATATAAACATGCTAATACTATGAGATTAGTAATTTTTTTTATTAAACACCCTTTTAAACAGGCATCACTTGATTTTCTTTGGGTGTAGGCATTGATTTTTTTTGGTGTAGATATAAATTAATTTTTTTGGGTGCAGACTAGAGTTGAGTTTTTATTGACTTTTAAATTTACTGGTAAGTATTGGTAAAATCAGTAAAAAATAAAATCATAGAAACTCACAATAAATTTTATTTGTTTCAAAATAATTTCTTTACAAGATTCAGATCTAATATCTTTAATAATATTTGTTATTTTGATAAAAAATAAGCTTTGATGATACAATGTGTATAAAGCAAGTTGTTATTCATTCTGGATCGAATTTTTGTCATAAATAATTTGGCAGCAGAAAAGCTCAGACTCAATACTTGTTGGAATCTCCAGTGAATTGAACGAAAGTTCAAGATGGCACTGGAGACTCCTTTTTTTCCAGTGGCTTCATAGACCAATATTTCTTCTAAAATAGCTTTGAATTTGTTTAAATTGTGGCGCTGAATTCCATCCTCAAGCTCACGTTTAAGTGAATGTGGATTTTTGTCAAGATTTGTTGAGCCACACACTTTTAATTCGAATGAATTCTAAGTCATCTGGATTCATTGGGAAAAACCTAGACAGCAAATTTTAGCAGCCTTTTGAAGTACGGGCATCAAAAAGATTTTGAAAACTTGGTGTTGTTTAATGTCCAATAAACATTCTGGGTTGAAAAGCGATCAATACAAGCTTACAAGGTTGCTATGTCTCTCTTCAAAACGTCACAAAACTACACTCTACACTGAAATGCAAATATTTGAATCTTGTTGTTTCAGTCTGTTCACAAGAAACTTGAAAATTCCTTCAGCTGTGAGTAGAGTTGCATCCTGTCAGTAAAGAGCTTCTGCTGCCAAATTGACTGGTTCAAGAGCAGCAATAATGTGGTATAAAATATTTACTTCATCATCATTGCAAATTAAATGTGGAGAAACCTCTTTCAATACTTTTTTGATTGAATCTTTATTTTTGAGAAACTATTAAACCATCAATAGTAGACTGTTTTATTTGTTCTACAGTCAAATTGTTTTTGGTAAAACCTCTTTTCTGCACTGTTTCTTAATTTCTTCTCGGTGGATGTTGTTTTTGAGTGAAGATTTTTGAAATAACTTGACAATTTTCTGACTTTTGTGGTGATAGATTAAAAGTGTACTTTCACTTTTGGAATGGGAATGTTTTCATTAATGGAATCACCAAGAAAAATGACTTTAATGTCAGATTTTGATTTGTCACTGTTGACTTCATCTTTGTCACTTGTTACTTGCAATGTGTTATGATCAATTTTTCAAAAAGGCTTTTTGCACAGCACTTCTTGGATTGCCAAATGGACTCCATGAGTGTAACATGTTTAATGCTCAATTGAAACAAGTTTTACAAGCTTAACCATTATGGAAGTTCCATCTGTGAATGAGCAGACAATGCTGTTGCCAATCTTCAAACTGCATCTAGCTACTTTTTGTGACAACTACTTCAGCTTTTTCAGCCAGAAGAGATCCTGAAATTTAAGAAAAGCCCTGATTCCAGTAAGTATATTTTTTATTAATATTAATATTCATGTACCTTCAATTTTTCAAGGTGTACTTATCCAGTGTAATTGAAAATCATTTTTAAAAGTGGTTTAAAAGTGTTTTCTTATTCACCATAATTTTTCACACCATCTACAAAGTTTTGCACTGACTGAATTGCTTGTGATTTGTACCTGACTGAATCACTTGTGATTTTTTGGAAAATCAAAACCTTTTTCACACATTGTAGATGTGTGAAAAAGGTTTTGGTGACTGAATCACTTGTGATTTTTTTGAAAATCAAAACTCTTTTCACACATTGTAGATGTGTGAAAAGACAAATGAAAGAATTGTTAACAGTGCTGTAAGTTTTGGAATCATTATTCAATTGGTTGCTTTGGAAAAAAAGTTGAAATCTTAGGCTTTTTGATTCTGTTACAGCTTTTGTTGTCAACTTTTCCTTAGTATAGTATATTTAAAATCTTTATTTACCAAAATATAGCAACATAATTTTAACAATAAATCAGCGAAACAATTTTATTGATTTACCAGTAAATTTTTGGTAAAAGCTCAACCCTAGTGCAGACATAAATTGATTTTTTTTTGGATGCAGACAAATTAATTATTTTTGGATGCAGATAGAATTTTGTTTTTTTTTGGGAGCAAACATGAATTGATTTTTTTTTGGGTGCAAAATATAAATTGGTTTTGAGTTTAAAATACATTTAAATGGACATCGTATGACAAAAATAATAGATTGTAAAACTGAGTCATGAAGTCTCAAAATGTTTTGACCAAGATTTAGACAATGTCCAATCTTTAACTTTCAGGAATTAGAAAGTATCATTTCATTGCATACATTTTAAGAAAGTATCATTTCATTGCATACATTAGAAAGTATCATTTCATTGCATACATTTCATTGCATTATTTTGATATTTTTAGACAATTTGAATTATAAAATAATCATAAATATGAATAGATTTTAAATTTTAATTAGTTAATTTGTTTAATTTTTTTTTTAACTGATTATCACAAAAGCAAATTCACAAACATTTTGCAAACAACAAAATAAGCTAATATCAACAAAAGTTCAGTTTACGCCTAAAATGTAATATAAAGGTATCATATAAAGCCTATAATGTAATATAAAGGTAACATATAAACTTATAAGTTTAAGATTTTTGTTTCCTTTCTTACATCTCATCTCTCTACAAATTGACAACCTCTCTCTCAATGCATGACCAATTGTTAACAATTAGGCATGCATGATTGTTATTAACTATTTTTTGTTTTTTGTTGTTTGTTGTCTGTTTTTACTATAAATCTTTTTTTTTTTTTTTTTTAGATTAAAAACAACATTATCTTTAAACTTAAAAGCAATTCAACATGTGAGTTTAATTTATGTTAATGTTAATATATGTTTGGTTCTAATTAAAAAATTGTTAATTTGATTCTGATGTTTTTAATCTCAGTGATTTAAATAAATTGTGTTTAAAGGACTTTTTTTATTAAAATTATATTTGTTCAAAGTGATTTTAGTACTATATAGAGTTAAAATTTATTTGACTGTGGTGATCTCACTTTTTCACATGAGAATAAGATTCTCTTAATAAAAATAATAAATCCTTTAAAAAAGATATTTAAAAAAAAGCAGAAGTAAACAATTCTAAAGAATTCTTTTTATAATAAACAAATCCAACATATTTCACAAATGTGTGACTTGAAATGTGTGATTAACTAAAATAAGTCTAACATTCCATTTCTAATTCATGGTTCTGATCTATTTACTTTTCCTCAGAATAAGGCAGAGATGGATGTAATGGCTATGGGTTTACTACCAATCCAGTGAAACAGGCTAACTCATTGTTAGACATCCAAGTCACTCTGGCCTACAATGATAACGTCAATTGTCAATTAAACTCTTTAAAGACTTGTGGTTCAGACAATGTTTTCATCATAGTCTTACAAATGCGTTTTTTAGAACTCTCTTTAATTCTCGCTAAATTTTTATTATTAATATTAATGTTATTAATAAGTGTTAAATAAGTGGTTCCGATTGCTTTTTACCTACAATAACGATCTTTCTGACAATCTTACATCTAAAGTGGCTCTATTTGCTTAAAACTCAATTTTATATTCTTGTCCTTACAAAAAGTTATAATATTTTGGTTGCTTAGCGACTGATCTTTAATCTGATCTCTCTTCTGTAACAACTTGGGGCTTTTAGTGGCTTGTGGATTTCAACTTTAAAGTACATTGTAAATTTTGTTGGACCTGCTTTATCTGCCAAGCCTGCAAAACCTCAAAATTTTCTCCCTTCTTTATGTTTTCCTTACTTATACAACCTAAAGCTATATATATTGTATATTAAATAAAACTAATATAATGTATGCATAAATTTATACTATATACATTTTTTCCGAGCACTCGCTAAATTTCTTATAATTTGATGTTTATATTTTTAATTATTTTGTACTTATAATTTTATCTTATATGTTATTTTTTAGGCACGGAAAGTATTTGTTGATTTAAAAGAAGATTTATCTCAACTAAAGCAAATATTATGACATAGATTATTAATAAATTACAGTGATAACAGAACAATTGGCTGAGTTGCCCAGTATTATTCTTTTTACAGATATGCAATTTAAAATGCCGAGCACACATATAAAGTATTAAATACTCTGCGCTAGAGGTTTTTAACTTTACTGCCAGTAGTGTTAATGTAGATAGTAAAACTGCACTTTGGTGCACATCTAGTGCTTACTAAATATATAATACTTTATATATTATAAAAAATATATACTTTAAATATTTTTATATGTTAAAGTATATTTTATATTTGCATGAAACTGGGAATATTGATAAGTTGTGAGTTAAATCGACTGTTGTTTTTTTTTCATCAAGCTATTTTTATTTCGTATTTGTTTCATATTAGTAATAAGTAGTTGCAATAACTTTTTAGTTCTTTTTTCGAGAAAATTGTCGTTAAAACTTTAAAAATTGTTAAGTTTAAAAAGTCGATTTGCAAATTTAAAAACAATGCGAGTTCTAAATTTTTATATCCCTGAATTCTTTGCATATGCTGGCAAATGTAAGTTGAGTGGGGAAGAATTACAAGAAGAGTCGACATTACAAAGTAAACAAATAATTTTTTTAAAATAATATTTGTTTTTGTATTTTCGTTATCTCGACATGTTTTGTTTCATTTATGTATGATATTTGCGCGAATAATGTAAATATATATTTATATGTAAAACACAAATATTACTATAATTTCAATGTATTATTTTATGTTTTTATTTTGTTATTATAGATGGCATGATTTTTTGTATTTATATATATAAAAATATATTAACCTAACTGGTTACTCAAAATTAGGACCGGAAATTATATATTAATACAAATATCTTTAGTCAATAACCCAACAATGTAGGGTAGAGCGGGGCATATAGGGACACTTAAGAAATGTTGCGGATAAAATAATCATAGTTAGCACTATTTTTTGTAAATTTCCTAAAATTCATTGATATAAGAAAATAAAAAAACAAAAAAAAAAATTTCTAAGACAACCAAAGTAATAAAGCTCTAGACTAGCAAGATTTTTACATTTTACAACCTGAAAATCATTTATTCTCTATTTTTATTGCTAATTATATTTTTAATAGATCAAATTTAGCAAAAATATTTTCCTTAGTTTTTGCCTTTCATTAATCAATAACGTCTTTAAATCAAGAAAAAATTGTAAAATACTGGAAATATTTATATCAAATCTTTTTTATATATAATTTTACAGTTTTCAGTAATATGTTGGTAAATTTAATAGATATTGACAAATACGGCATTAAACATCAATATGCATAGCAAATAACAGGATAAAACAGTTTTAAAAAATTTAAAAACAAATGATCGTAGTTGCTACTATAGTAGTACTATAGTTATAATAAAAAAACACTAAAAAAAAGTGTCAATGGGGGATTTCTAAAATTTTTATGATCTGCTTCAAAATATTTTACTATAAAACTGTCTATAACAACTGCCTAACGGAGACAAAATTTTACCCATTAGTTATGAAATAACTTATCTTTTTTTGAAAATTTCAAAAATTTTCAGAAAATTTTCCGAGATGAAAATTTCCGGAAAATTTGCAAAGCATATTTAGACATTAAACTTTCAAAAAAGTAACATATCCATAGAAACTACACGCCCTTACACCCATACACCACAAAAAAGTAATAATAGCTAAAGTAAATAAAAAAGTTTGTGTTTTATTATAAAATACCTCCGCTATACTCTAACCTATATATTATTAAATTGGTAACTACTACTAAATTTGAAATTAAACAAAATATTTTATCGGTGACATAAATCACACAAAAATATTCTGAAACTATTTGGCAAAATTTTTAACGAGCTGGCTTATTAGCAATATGCAAATGTAGGGCAAACTTAAATATGCAATAAGTATCAGCAGTTTTTCTAGTTCTAAGTTCCTTTTTACTCACAGCTAAAACTGCATTTCATCCTAATTTGGATGATTGATCTTTCTTATAAAATTTCTTACCTTATTTGTTTACATTAAACGCTATTATTAATCGAAGTTAAGTTATAAAATTAAGAATTTCTTTGAATTAAAATTGATTTTCTAAATAAAAATAATAATATTTCAGAATAAAAATAAAATCATCAAACTGTAAGCAGCACCACGAAATGGTAGTAATATACGAAGTGGTAGTAATTTTTAGCTGAGATTTAGAAGGCTTCAGGCAGAACTGTCTCGTTATGCCCCACTGTCCCGATATGCGCCACTCTACCCTAGCAAAGTATTTATAAGATTGATTAATTTTAAATTTAAAACCTTAAAACAGAAATCTTAGCGACCGAGGTGTGGTGGTTAGAATTCTGGTTTTAGAACTACAGGTTTGTAGTTCGAAGCCAGCTCTGACGTCAGATACAAAAAAATTAGTTCAAAGGTGCTGTTCATATGTGTAAATATGAACAGTACCTTAATTTTTATGTCCTGCGTAACCGGAATGAAAAAACAAAAAAAAAATCTTGTCTTACTTTGGAAACTCTAACAATGAAGAAAGCGTGAATTTCCTAAGTTGTTTTTTTTCTAAAATCCTATTACGCGGTCCTCTGTAATAAAACCGTTAGGACTTCTTCAAGAACCTAAATAACTATAGGAAAAAAATTTAATAGTAGAATTTACAGATTTTTTATTATTTAACAAAATTTTTGACTTTTTCAACCGTAAAAGATGCGTTTGCTTAAACTTTGCTCTGATAAAGTAAAACTCAAATCATCATGAGACACCCAACTTAATGTGATTTTCAAAAGTTTCAAGGAAAAAAGCTCCCAAAAAAAAATTGTTGTTTTATATATAAATATTACAGTTAACAATAATAACGTAACATTGATCTTCTTTTATTTAGACAATATTTGTCCCAAAACCGTCAATCGATGTATGTTCACTCCTTTGCTTGTTCTCCCTATTTCAGTGTTTGGTCAGCAACGATGCCAGGTAACCTAGATATAAAAACAAAAAAAATCTTTTCTCTCTTTGGAAACTCATAATTTCAAAATTGCGTTCATATGTAAAACCAGTACCGGTATGATCTACCGGGATCCGAATTTCACGTGACCTAAAAAAGTCCCGCTTACGCGAGATGACTTTTTCCATATGAACACGAGCTGAAATTCACCACCTTCGGCTAAGCGGAATGTTTTTTTTCTCCATATGATTATCTATTTAAAAAAGCTTTTTTTGCTGTTTTTTCCTGTTCCATTTCAAGATAAACGTATGTGTTTTATGAGATCTTTGGGTTGTTACGAATTTTACATTATATTTCAACAATTTAAATTTATAAATATTTATTATCTAAATATAATAAAGTTATGCATATAGAATTTGTTTTTGATCACAAAAAATCATTAAAATAGTTTATAGACTTTTATACTCAAAAACATTTATTTTGAGCTTTTCAAAAAATTTCAAAAAAAAGAGTCCAATTTTTACACTAGGTCAAGAGACAAATTGTATAAGTTTTTTAACCTTTTCTTTGTAATGACTATAGTAGATAGTATTTTTTTAAATATACTAAGAAATTATCTATACTCTAAAAATCACAAGTTTTTAATTATAACGTTAACAAGTACTAACCCTCTTATTAAAAGTTTTAAACGAGTACTAACCCTCATCGAAACGCAAGTAAACGCGACTCTCAAGATAAGTTGATTACTTAACCACTACACAAATTGCGTTTACACTAGTGTTGTTATTGACTTCGACTAAATCGACTAAAAGTCAACTAGTCGAAAGTCGAAATTAGTCAACTTTGCAAAGTCGATTAATTTCCACTTTCGGCTAATTTTTTTCGGGTAATTTCGACGTTCGATTTCTCAAACTGTTTCTCTGACTATTTCTCAAATTTAAGAAATTGAACAGTCGATTTAGTCGACTTTGAATTTCCTACTAATCGACTTAAAGTCGATTTTGTTTAGTAATACTTTTAAAATCTTATTATCTTTTTATTCAATTTAACTTTTTTAATTATTAACTTTTGTTTGTTCATTTAGTAACAATAATATTATAACTAGTGCATACTGTTTTTTTGTAAACTCTTTAAGTTTTATAAAATTGATAGCATGATAGCAATATTCATGCCTAAGTAAACTTTCGGTTGTGTATTTTATTATTATTATTATTTTTTATGTTTACGCTATAAGATCTTCCATTAAATACGTGCACAGGTATGGAGGGAGTGGGGATTAACGAATGCGTACAAGGTGTGAGTGTGTGTTGGTTTTGTTGTTGTTGTTGTTTTTTTTTTTTTGGGAGGGGGGGAGGGGGGTTGGGATGTTAAAGACAGCGGTTTATCTCTAGTTCTCTATCTCTCTCTCTCTCTTTGTTAACAATTAAAAAAAAAAAAAGACTTTTTGTTATTATCAACAAAAGCATTGAATTTCATGAGTTTAAAAAAGTTATGTTACGTAACATGTTACGTAACAAAGTCGAATTAACTAAAAGTTTTTTTTGTTTTTAATGTTTTGAAAAAATTATGCGTAGGAAAAGGGGGGTTGACTTTGTAATAAACGATGCGTTTGTGCGCGGAAGGAGGATGCGGGGGGAAGGGGGTTTGTTAAAAGAATACAGGTGGGTACAAAAAGAGGTCTAAAATCAATACATACTTTATGTATATATTGATTTTGCTTACATAAAGTATGTACGTACATACATAAAGTATGTACGTAGATTCGTAAAGTATCTACGTAAACACATAAAGTAGGTACGTACCAGTGTTTGGAAGAACGCTTTCCAAAAGGAAAAGATTCCTTAAACTGGTTCTTTTTTTAAGGAACGAAACTAGAAACTAGTTCCTTTTAAAATAACGGAACGAGGAAAGAAAACGAATTCTTTTTTTTGGAAGAACGCGAACGAAAAGTAATAGTTTAATTGAAAAAACTTTTTAAACTTGTATTTCGCTAAAGTTGTTTTTAAAAAACGTTCAAAAAGCATTTTATTTAGATCAAATCAAATCTAAGTTTGGTTTCAGTTACCCAACAGCCGTAACTACTAATTTTTATACTAAACCGATTGTAGGTTAGTTTTTAATTATTTTAGTTAGTTTTTAATTATTATTATTTAGTTAGTTTTTAATCATAATTATTTAGTTAGCCATATATACTACATTTTAATCTATATTGGTTACCAATATAGTTTTAAAGTTAGTGCATGTAGCCAACTAAATCCGAATAATTCCTTCTTAAATATAATTTTCAACATAACTTTATTAGTTATTTTGCAGTTATTATAATTGTTATTTAAAAAAAGTTATTGAAATTAATATATCATTTATACGTGTATAAAGTTCATGCTGATGCAGACTAGGCCAGCAGGATACCAGAAATGTTTAAAAACTATTTAAAATAAATAACTAAATAAAGCACGTTAAAAAAGCATTGCTCGCCAAGCGAAACAATAAATTACTATTACAATTTTCAAAACAAAAAATATGTATTAAAAAAGGAACAAAGTAGGAACGAGTTCTCTTTCCTTTTTTGACTAAAAAACGAGGAACTCGTTGGAACTAGTTCTTATTTTACAAAATGAACGTGTACCAAAACAATATCGTTTAAAAAATGAACTTTCCAATCACTGGTACGTACGTCCATAAAGTATGTACATACATACATAAAGTACATACGTAGAGGGGGTCCAGTATTTATAAAAATCACAAGCATATGGATGTCCCATGATGCTTGTGATTTTTATAAATACTTTCATACAGAGCCTGGATCCAAGGTTAAAGACTTTTAAGAAAAATTAAATCTTGAAACGTTGAAATCTAAATGTCATCTATACAACGATCTATACACA